TTTTTTTTTTTTTTTTTGCCTTTTCATATGTTTTGTAATATTTTTGTTGAAAGGTGGACATGATGTACTTGGAATAAGGAACTGGAGGAACTAAGCGTCTTGTAATGTGGTCGAAAGAGGTAGGAAGGGGGGAGGTTTCTATCTACCATCAGGTCTCAGTTTTGTAAATAGCCTGTGCCTCTCAAGAGTGGCCTTCACCCGCAAGTGCTTCTCAGTTGTTTTTCCTCCCTTCCTTAGGACAAAATGGCTGGAGAAGGCTGCAGCTGGTTATTTCCTTTCCTCCAAATAGGTTAGGCTCTGGTGAAACAGTTTCTGCTGAGGTGAGCCTTTGTTAGAAGAATGCTAGCCAGGTGTGGTGGTACACGCCTATAATCCTAGCCCTCTGGGAGGCTGAGGTAGGATTGCAAATTCAAGCTCATCATGGACAAGTTAGACCCTGTCTCAAAATAAGAAAGGGATGGGGGTATAGCTCAAGGTGAAGGCCCCGGGTTTGTTCCCCAGTAACAAGCAAACAAACTAACTGGCGAATTCCAAAAGGGTTTCTTTTTGTTGCTCCCTCTGCTGGAAGCATGAGGAGCTTTTTCTGATACTCACTGTGATCACCCGGTAGAGCCCTTGAAGTTAGAATTCACAAAAGTGTGCCTCTCATGACCAGGTCTCCTAGAGTTTTAACTTTCTGAGTTGTCCAGCAGTTCTGTCAGCTATAGTTCAAGTTTTCCCATCCCAGCCCTGGATCCTGTGGGCTTTCTGGTTGTGATTTTCTGCTCCAAAAACTTGTGATCCTTCAGGCTGTCTCTCCAATTTGGGGGGCAGTAATTTGCTCTGTGACCTCATTTCTCTGATGGATCTAAGAAGAGTCATTGATTTTTAAGTTTGTTCAGCTTTTTCATTGTCAGAATGATGCAGCAACTTCTAAGCTTCTTACATGCCAGACCCAGAATTGGAAGTCTTCAAAAAGTGCAAGTATTTAAATCACATATTCAATAGAGAGAAAGTAAATGCTCCCTCCCTCTCTCTCTCTCTTCCTTCTTTCAACTTCAGAAGGCCTAAGGAATCTCTGTAACCCTGGATCATAAATGCTGAGGACATGTAAAGGTATAGCAACATTCAAACCCTCTTTTCAGCCTGTGACTTTTCAGACTGCTAACATTGGTGACTGGCCTAGCCAGAATAGGCCCCATACCTAAGAATGTACATGTATGAGTAAAGAATCCTAGCAGGCTGAACACGATAGCATGATTTAAAAAATACAGTGGATGCTACTGCCTTGTACCAATGGAAAGGCAGAGATCTTCAATACAAGAAACAACATAGCACTCTTAGAAACACAAATTTCAGCTTGTTCAGTGGAGTCGGTTGTGAGTTACAGTTCAGAGAAGTTGTGTTTTAAAATGTTCCACAAAGCATGAATTATGAATAAACACTAACATAGAATTTTGTTTCAAACTGCAAAAATTTGCTATCTGAAACTTGGGTCTGTGATTGTGATTCTGAGACCAAGGTGCAGACTTCTCAGTGGAAACCCCCCTGTTCTTGTTTTAAAAAAGCACGTCAATCAAGATCCAGCCTCAAGGTGATGTTGATCATGTTTCTGACTTTGATGGAAATGTGTGGGCTGAGTTTGTACCCAGGAGCAGTATGGTGAACCCAGAATATTATAAAGGCTTAATAAAATGTGTAAGAAATCATGTATGTAGAAACAAAAAAACCAGAGAAATAGGCAAAATGTTTCACCCTCCATCATGACAATACTTTATGTTACATATTTTTTCTGACATGGCAATTTCTGTCAAATAAAAACATTATAGTGATCCTCACTCCCCTTATTCACTGGATCTGGCACCATGCCACATGTAGCTTTACCCTAAGGTCAAAATGACAATGAAAGGTAAACATTTTTAATCTACTCAGGACATAGAGGCAGCCACAAAAGTACAACCAAAGATACTCATGAAAGACTTCTAGAACTACTCCAAAAAGTGACAAAAGCAATGGGACAAGTGTGTTCAAAGTAAGGGAGAGTATTCTGAGGGATATTAATAGCAATGTGCCTTGCTGTAATAAATTTTTGAAAAAATGAAACATCACTGTATTTTTGGCTCACGTCTCATATTTTATCTAGCTTTAGGCAAAATCCTACAAATTACTTCTCTGCAATTAGAAAGACTAATATTTATTATTTATATGGCAGAAGTAACATTGCAGTATTTCATTCAATTTTCATAATAATTCTTCAAGGTAGATAGATACTGTTAATCTTATCTTATGATGAGAAAACAGATACAGGGAGATTAAGTGACTTCCTTAAAATCATATAGTTGGGATTTGGACTTGAGTCTGACTCAGTGGTGGGTTCCCTTCACATATATGCTACCCTGCAGTGCAGTCCCTTATGTCTATTAGCATTATCCTACTTAGCATCCTAAATGAAACACTTCCGTGACTCAGAACCTTCAATGGCTTCCCATACCTAGAGAATAAATGAAAATTCTTTAGTTTATAAACTTAAACAGTGGTTTCAGTATACCTCTCTGATCTTATCTTTTATAGTTTCTTTTCATATAGCTTACTGTCCAGTTACGTGAAACTACTAAAATCTCTACAAAATGCTCAATGTTTCCTTGGCTCCATATGTTTATTCATGCTTAGAAAACTCTTCCTACTGGTATAGCCACCAAACCTGACCATAGTTTAAATACTAGATGAAATGCCACTTCCTCCTTGAACTTCTATAACTCCAAGGCAAGTTGATTCTTCCTCTTAACTCATAGAGTGCTTTATTTGTCATCCTTCTTCCGCTTCTTCTTCTCCTCCTCCTATCTTTTTTGTGGGGGTATTAGAGATTGAAGCCAGGGCCATTGCAGTTAACTACATCCCTAGCCCATTTTTTGTTTTTTATTTTGAGACAGGATCTCACTATATCCCTAAACTGCCCAGGCTGGATTAGAACTTGTAATCCTCTTGCCTCAGCCTCCCAGAGTGTTGGGATTGCACATGCCATCAAGCCCAGCTTTATTTGTACTTCTTAATACATGTATCACATGCTTTCTGTCAGGACTTGAATGCATGTATCTCTCCAAAATTCATACATTGAAACCTAACACCCAATATAATATTTAAAATATTGAATAATAAATATCATTGTGAAAAGTTCTCCAAGACAGATTGTAAAGTTAAAAAGCAGATAACAAGAATATACAATCCTATTCCATTTAGAAATTGCATATGCGTGCATTCACGGATACACATATACAAATACCAGGAGAAGCACACCAAATGTTAATAGTGGTTATTTGTAAGAAGGGAAATTGATGTCGGGGAAGTGAAGAGAAGGAAGCAAGACAGGACTTCTACATTTTTCTTTGTGTAATTTCCTCTGTTTAGATCATCTATATAATTTGCACAGATTTACTTTCATCAGGAAAACATATAGTACAAAGGGCCTTAGGGCTTAGGCTCTTCTGAGAGGGACGCTGCAAAGGCTCCTGATTTCCTCCATATACTAAGTTAGAAGTAATCTATTGCCTATTGTCTATTTGTGTGTCTCTGATGAAGTCCCACAGTTAAGAAAGAGACTAAGGCATCCAAGCAGGACCTCACCTTGAAGTAAATAAAGATGTATGCTCAGTCTTGATTGTCAACCTAAGCTTAACACATCTAAAGCTTGTTCCACAGAGACTGATTCTAGTGCAGGCAGCGGTAGAAGCCATTAGATTCTCTGGAACTGGGCAACTTGGCACAGTTTCATGCTTTGGAACCCAAAGTGAGCAAATGAGGATGAAGTAATATTGCTGCCGACCTTGGAATCCTGGCTAAGGAACTACAGGAGTCCACATGAGAGAAAGACCACAACAATGTTAGTTCAGTGATGTGTCAACATTCTGCCATGAAGCCATGTGGCAGCTATTGTGAACTTGCCAGAGGCGCCCTTTGGTAGTGCACTTGAACAATTCTAGACTGAATAAGTCCCTGGGATTCTTGGATAATGACGAGGATCAGACTGGGAATCGGGGTGAGGGTGGCTTGAGGAGAGAGAAACTGGACCTCCTGGTAATAAAAGCAAGTATAGGCTCTAGCAATGAATATGTACCTATGTCAAATGATCGTGTGAACTATACTTTCAAAAGTGGCCATCTATATACTACCCCTTGCACACCTGTGGTGGTCAGTTTAGCTGATGTAGGCACTAAGAAAACATTAAGGAAGAACCAAAGGAGGTGACTAATAGCTGGAGGAATTTGGGATCAAGGAAACACAAGTACAAAGTGAGGGAGAGTTAGTGTTACTGTCCCCTCTACTCACGGGGCTGATGTGCATTCCAATGTGTGTACTGCACCAGCTCAGACTCCTGCCCCACAGTCTTCCAAGTGTATTCGCCTGTATTGTTTTGGTCTTGAAGAGCTATCCAAAAATAACTGTCCTTCATTTTCACCACACTGCTGATCAAACTGGTAATAAATGCCTGTTCAAACCTTGAAAAGAGAAAAAGGAAATGGTTATGCTTCAGGGCAATAAAAAAGATCATTAAAACATAAACACAGAATGGAACCAGAGCATGCATTACTTATTAATTCTTTAGAACATGGAGCAGAAAAACACATAAACACCCCAAACATTACTAATGCATGCCAAGTGTCAGCGCATTCCCAGAAATGCATAAGTGAAGAGAATTATACACTTCATTCTTGAAATTGTGTCAAGGAACAGAGTCCAGCTCTGGTTTCAGAGTGTAGGTGGTAATGTTCACACAGCTAATAATACATTTCTGTTAGTATTATGTGGCCTGCTTTATAATTAGGCCACACACCACACACCAGGCTGTAAGTGCATGGAGTGGGGTTGGCAAGAAGGAGGAGGAAAGATATTATGCTTTTCTGAATGAATATCTGAGTTCACATGCACCCACTCACCACATTTGCATGATAAGAAAGGATCTGGAGTAGTAATTTTGTGTCTCCCAAAACAGTTTGTTCTCAGGCACATGGAGTCCTTGGCTTATTCAAATGTGTTAAATACGCATTTTCACTGAAGATAAATTAAAGTCCTAGAATCTAATCCAAGGCATACACCCACTAGCATTTTCCCCAAACAGCTTAGTGAATCAGCATTTAATCATTGGTGGCAATTCTCCCTTTCCAACATGAAATGCATCAAAAGTGGAATCTAGGAAACTTGTATTTATGCTCCCACACTCACATCTAATGAGAAAAGGGTGAGTATTAAAACTTAACTAAAGTTAGCCTTAAAGCTAAGTTTGAAACTATTATGATAAATCTATTTTCAAGACATACAAAGTTAGAAGTAATTTTAGTGGTGATTTCTGGTCAGATATACTGAGTCAAATGGGCTTTTAAATTGCAATTGGATTTTTAAAAATTACCATGCATTTTTAACTTGCTAAGAGTACCAAAGGCAATGGTATCATTTAAAAATAGAAGAGTCTCAAAGGAAATCCAGAGGAGAAAATAAGGAACAAAAGGAAAAATTTAAGTGCCTTTGAGACATCACTAGAACAGTTAGTGATCATAAGCATCCATGGCACTCATCTCTGTAGAGTATGTGTGTTTTACTGTGCTTTCATATTTTCAGCAAATTCTCTTTTAACAATCAGAACAGCACACATTTGAAATGAGAAAAGTTTGTTTTTAAGCACATGGTAGGAGCAGAGCTTTATATAAACGTGCTTCAGGAGGAAGGTACATAAAGCTAAATGCTGTCTAGATACTGTTGTAATTTTCTTTATATTTCATTATTTTCATGGTCTCATAATATACCATCTAATTTTCTGATTCATGTTGAGGCAGAGTAGCATAATTATTGTCCCCACCAGGTGCCTAAAAAATTCCTGTGTTGGAAGCCAGCAAGGCTTTGTCCTAGGGGTGCTGTGGCCAGGACTTCTATTCACTCTCTGCTGAGCACAGGGAGGATCACTGGTTCTTTCATTACCTTTCACCATGAAATCTATCAGATAATGCTAAAAAATGACCTTGCCTGTGAACATGGCCTTGAATACTATTATTCATGACAACGTGTTGCTTTTGTTCCCTATTGGTTATATATTTATTTTGTCCACTTTGGTTTGCTATTCTATCTCTATCATTGCTTGGAATAATAAAAAACCGCTTTTTGAATTGGCAAGCATATATAATATATATATATATATATATGG